ATATGGTTTATCTAGGACTTTCCTGAGTCTTTATCAGAGAGAGTTAGAATTGCATCATCCAATCCCAAGAGAACAATGAAAGCAACTGAAAATTCAGGTATAACTCCATTGATTTGAGACCTTTATCAGAGACAGAGTTAGATGCCGCCTCTCGTTGCTCTTGTGGTTGCCGCTATTATCGCCAATCAACTGGTTGCCGGTGGAGTCACCGATCCAATGGTCGCCAATTTACGGTAGGTATGTCGTCGCGAGAGAGAGGGGCCCGTGTGTTATAAACGATATATTTTTAACGTCAAATTTTAAAGGGTTCCGCATGTAATAGGAAGTAATTCCTTGCTATAGTTGAGAAAATAAAGAGAGTGATTTCTCACTTTCTCTTCTCTTCACAAAAATAGAAAGTATTTTCTTAAAATTAAAAAGTAATGTATTTTATTAAACATGATTTTTACTTTTGATTCTCAATTTTAAGAATTGACAATAAAAATCAGAAATTATTCCTTTTAGTATACAATATATTGTATATTGTATACAATCACTTCTAGAGGCTTGTGTAATAATAGTAAAGTAAAGGTTGCCACTAGCATAATGATGGCTCACTATGATGGCTCCATTTTAATTTGCTAGAGAAACTAAATGCATTTGTTCTATGATTGGGTTTATATTAGTTTAAACTTTAAACTCCACATGTGCTACTCATTACTCGAATCTTCTTCCCCAGGACAATCGGTCAAACAATAATTGATTTTAGAAGTGATCAAAATTGGTGGTCACTGCTGAACCAAACCAGGTCGAGCAAAAAATGTGCTTGATCAGGATAGCCAAACTGGGTCAAGGAAATTGTGCTCGACCCGAAGCCAACCCGAGTCGAGCAGATTGGGCTAGGATCGGATCGAGCCTAAAAAAAAAAAAATTTTGGGCCAGGCTTGACCCAAACAGTTCGAGCCACCTAGGCTCGATAAAAAAAAAAAATTGGGTTCGAGACCAAGCTTGACCCAAACAGGTCGAGCCACCTATGCTCGATTAAATTTTTTAAAAAATAAAATAAAATAAAATAAAGTATACATATATATACAATAAAATAAATAATAAATAAATATAATAATTATACATACAAATGCTCAGATGAGTAAAAGTTATCTAGATTTGTTTTCGACTAAAAGCAAGTTTAAGCACGGAAACAGAGGGTAACTGAATAGACTAGTCAAGACAACCTAAGGTCAGGGTAATTAGCGTCAACAAACATATAACGTAGTTGAGATGCAATCAACTACAAAATTCAAAAAAGAAGTTTAAAAATTGAAATTCAAATCCCTGATAAAACTCTTGGGAAATTGCAACAGACTCAAAAACTCTGCCATAAAGCAGACCTACTCCAACCCAAATTGCTTAACAAGCAATTTATCCCACTTCATTAGTTGCTTAAATTATTCCTCCAAGTACCTTATCACTGAAGGTTGTTTGGTAGGCACCAGACCGGTGTAAATCAGCGAAAAATAGCATCGTCCTAGATCATTGTAGACCAATCTCCATTAGTTGGCAACGTCTATAGGAACCATCGTTCTCTCTGAAAAAGATTATGATTTTACGATCCGAATTCGCTCGGGGTGAGGGAACATCGTTGCAGCCCTCTGTTCAAGAGGAGGTGCAAGGAGAAACCCCTCACATCCCAAATGACCAAGGGCGCATCACAGCGTTGGAACAACAAGTTCAAACCTTGAATCAGGGTATAAATGAGCTAATCCAACAAAATGCGATGATCCTACAATGTCTTGCTGTCCCAGGCCCCCCTTAGAGTAAGATCATCATGCAAAGTCCCACCTCAAGATCCTCCCAACCTACATATTGAGGAGGGAAATTGTGAAGTGCAAAGCAACGAACCTCCCCATGAGGAGGCTCAAATAGAGCATGACCAAGTTGCTGATCGGCTTAGAGAGCTAGGTCACCCATCCCTCTCACGTAGTTCTAAGCCAGTGGCCTCAACCTATGTTGGTGAAAGGATGGAGGAGGTCACCCACATTGACCTACAGATCCAGGATCTCATGGCCAAGATGGAACAACAACCGGTAAGGGAGATTAGAGTCATATCGGAGGATATGGAGGAGGAGGAGGTGAGACAAGCGCAACTTAAAAAGCCTATGCAAGGGAATGCAAGAGCAGAAGTGAATGAGGTGGGAATGCTCACATCTTCCATATTGGTCTTGTTGTTCCAACATTGTGACACGCTTTTGGTCATTTGGGACGTGAGGGGGTTCCCCTGCAACTCCTCTTGACTAGAGACCTGCAACCCTGAGCGAATCCGGATTGTAAGACCATAATCTTTTAGAGAGAACTATGGTTTCCACAGACGGCGCCAATTGATGGAGATTGGTCTACAACGATCCGGAATGACGCCTTTTTTTGCTGATTTACACTGGGGTGGTGTCTTTCAAACAATCTCTGATGATAAAGCCAGTATTGGAAGAATAAGTTAAGCAATTAATGAAGTGGGATAAATTACTCGTACCTTTTTGGGTTGGACTAGGTTTGCTTTATAGCAGTCTTTGAGTCTATTGCAATTTCCCAAGAGTTTTATCTGGGATTTGAATTTCAACTTTTAAACTTCTTTTTTGAATTTTGTAGTTGATTGCATCTCAACTACCTTATCTGTTTGTTGACGCTAATTACTCATTTGTTGTTGCCCTTACCTTAGGTTGACTTGACTAGTTTATTTAGTTTTCTCCTCTATCAGTTGCCCCCTATTTCCGTGCTTAAACTTACTTTAATTGGGAACAAATCTAGATATTACTTATATTCATCCGAGCATGTGTATGTATAATTGCACAACAAATTAAAGTGGAGCCATCATTATACTAGTGGCAGCCTACTTTTTACTATTATTAAATAAGCCTCCAAAAGTGATTGCAACTGATGAAGGCTGTTACTTTGTACTTTCATTATATATATTTTTAGTCATTGCTTTGGGCTTTTACTTGTGTAGTCACCTCACCTTTTTGATATATTATATCTTTGTTGATATATATAGAGTTACTTTTTGGCTAGACATCTTATATGGACAAAAGTGATATTAGATAATGACATCAATGGATATATGTACCAGAATCATACATATCTTCCATGTATATCAGTGGATATATGAATGAATGCTGGGGGTAGACTCGAGCCTTGCACTTGCAAGGGCTCACTCACATCACCTGCCGCATCAATGGATATATGTACCAAAATCATACATATCTTCCATGTATATCAATGGATATATGAATGAATGCTGGGGGCAGACTCGAGCCTTGCACTTGCAAGGGCTCACTCACATCACCCGCCGCATTGAGCCTCGCATTGTTAAGGCTCACCCACATCGCAATGCCTCACTCACATCGAGCCCTGCATTTGTAAGGGCTCACCCATATCAAGCCTCTGGCAAGGCCTTACCCACATCAAGCCTTGCACTGGCACCCACATCAAGCCCCTGGCAAAGGCTCACCCAGATCGAGTCTCGCACTTGGAAGGTAGGTCCCACCAAGACTAGGTAGGTCTCTCACCAATATTAAGTAGGTCTCGACCACCACCAGGTGGGTCTCCTACCAAAACTAGCCACGTTTCTTACCGAGGACAAACAGGTCTTCCACCAAGGCCAGACATGGTCTCCCTCCATGGCCATACAAGGTCTTCCTCCTAGGCAAGGCAAGATCTTCCACCAAAGTAAGGCAAGGTCTCCACCAAGGCCAAGCACATCCCTCACCTAGACCAGGCCGCATCACCTCTGACTCTTCCCTTTCTAAAGGGCGAGCTAAGTGAATCTTGTAAAGGACAAGCTCACGAAGCTCGGCAAAAAGGGAGCTCACGAAGCTAAAAAAAAAAGCTATTAACTTATTAAAGTGTGAGCTCACAAAGCTCGGAGAATCGGAAGAGATATGTTTTGTAGGGAAGGAAGGGGCATTCCTTCTCTCTTCCTTCCCTCCCTTCTTGAAGGCTAACCTTCTATCTGTCCTTTGCTTCCCTCTTCTTCCTCCATCCATTCTTCCTATTGAACAGGCTGTTATTGTTTATCCCATGTTATTCTGATGCAGCTGATATATGTATGACACAACTGATGCAGAAACCCCTCGACCCTGATTGGAATTCATTAATCTTTAAGAAAAATTGACATTTGATAATATGCCAATGGGCATTGAAATGCAAGTTTCTTGATGGTGTTGGCCAATGTCATAAGCCATCAGCTTAGGTGCGAAAGTTCTTCTGTCATGGAAATGAATGTTGGCAACACCAGGTTCGGTTAAGATTATGAACAAGCTCAAGTTTATTTAAATCAACACAAAGCTTGAGCAAATAGGGTTGAGGATTAAACCCTTGGTGGTGATTAGAATAGCAAAATCTGAAATCAGAGAATTAAAGATGAGGAGGGAGGAGAAGAAGAAGAAGAAGAAACTTTTAGGAATATCGCCTAGAATTCCTTTGACTTTAACCCTTGGTTGCAATTTGCATCATGTCAAACAATCTTCAATTTTCTAGAACTTAATTTTGTTTAATAGAAAGATCAAGTGTGTGCGCTCTGCATAAAAAAAAAACCTTCCATTTTCGGAGTGGGGTTGGGGTCAGAGAGCGATATGAAAGAGCGTGAGCGATAGTCACTCAACTGGTACTCCCCCTCCCTCTTTTATTTTTTAGTGCCCATCTGTTTTTGTTGCCTTTGGTGTTGATATGTTTAGTGTACCAATGCTCAATAATTTACCTGTATATATAGTGATACTGTTGGCACTTAAATATTACCATGTAAAGTACTCTGCTCCTTCCCCCCTCTTTTTTTGGCTACTATTGTGAAAGCCCTTCTGTTGATTCTGCTTCACTACCGAATCATCAAATCTTCCTTTCTAGTGGCAGTTTTTGCTAATATGAAACAAGATTTGTTAGAAATTAAATTAAGAAACAATTTTTTTTAATTATAAAGGAAGCGAGATAAAAGACACCGCTTTTCTAATCTCTGTTGATTCTGTTATGCTCTTCAGGTTGCTCTCCTGATGATAAGACATGGAGCAAATGTGGATGTGGAGGACAAGGAAGGATACACTGTGCTTGGTCGAGCTTCGGTTGATCTTAGACCAATATTGATTGATGCTGCCAAGGCCATGCTTGAAGGATGAACTTTGTGAAAAGAATAATGATTAAACTGTGCAAGTGAGGTGTGCGCGCGCGCGCTTGGTACAAGTATGTTCGTGGATAAGTTCTGTTGATTTATTACCAAAATGAAAGGGAAAAAAGTGAAGAATGAAACTAATTTTTGGATTGTTCTGTGTCAGAGAACTATGTTCTTTCTGAACATAAGTGCTAACATGTTGATTCACACCTTTTTTTTCAGCTTCAAAAAATAAAAATACTTTTGCCTTTTTTAACACTTTGAAGAATATGAAATGGCACGGAATAATAATAAAAATAAAAACTACAACAGGTTGATCTTGTACAGGCTGCCTATTATAAGTCCATTGAGGCCCCTGCGCGAGTCACATGTGAAAAAGACCTCATTTTATAATGTAGGTTCTATCATGAGAATATATATTTTTTTTCTTTTTACAATTTAAAATACTGTTTTTCTATAAAAAAACAAAATTATCTTGGAAGGGTTCCATTTGAGATTGTTTCTTCTTGTCTCCTCATTCAAGATTTTTTTTTTTTTTTTTATCAAAAAAACGTGTACGCTGTCCAATTTTGTTTGGGAAAAAAATGAAGTCATATATTGGCAAAAGGGATCTAACTGATTTTTAATCCCCTCCATTATATATATATATACCTCATCCTACATCGACACAATGTCATTCGTTTTTGGCTTCGTCAGACCAGAGACTTCTAAGGAGTTCATACATTCTTGTATTACTTCGGAGTAAATACATTTAACTTTGAAGTTCTGATGGGTTCATGGTTATCACAGTTTTAAAATGCGCTATGTCTGGCTTTCTCAGACCAGAGACTTCTAAGGAGTTCATACATTCTTGTATTACTTCAGAGTAAATGCATTTAACTTTGAAGTACTTCAGAGTAAATGCATTTAACTTTGAAGTTCTGATAGGTTCATGGTTATCACAGTTTTAAAATGCGTTGTGTCATAGAGAGTGTTGACATTACGTATAACACTTTGTTTTTCTCACAACCATATATTCTTTTGTTTATTTATTTGGTGTTTATTCATCTACCTACTCTAGAAACTTAACTTCACTATTTTAATTAACATCATTTTTATTAAAATATTAGAAGAAAATTATATCGAAGTCCCACTTTTATAATCTTATAGTCCACTTACATTTTAGAAAGAGACAACACAATTGTCTTGAAAACACTTTTAAACCCCACAACTACCACAAAAAATACTCTTTAGTCCTTACTTCAGGAATTGGGGAGATGATAAATGCATTCTACCTTTTTTTATTATATATAAATACACAATTTTTGAAAAATTAAATAATGCAAATGTCTCTTATACTTGATTTTTATGAGTTGAATTAAAGATAATTATTTCATTTCACATTAAAGTGAAGTGTTTTATCACCATTCCTTCTTAAATTATAAAATCAAATGTGACTGCAAATGTCAAATCCCTGTATTATATATATATATATATAACTCAGTTAGATTGATTACTTTTGTCTAAGGCCCCTACTTGAATGATTGAGGGACGTTTAGGTATAATATGGTGGGAAACAGTCCAAATTGTTTATTGTCATATTTTCCACCTTGTCTTTGAAGGATCGTGAATGATCAGACAGTGCCATAGTGGCAGTTGTCTTGCTAAGTTGGATTGGATGAAAACTCAATAAATAAAATTAAATAATCAATTTAATTAATAAGTAAACATAAATAAAATAAAATAAAGAGAATAGTAGTAGTAGGTGATTTGCATTATATTATTAAAAGTTGTTCCAGATTCCCCTACAACACATGAATTGTTATCATTGGACTAAACAAATCATATCATATCCATATGACAAGCAATGCAAGCAAATAAAAGTAAAGTAAAGGGGTAATAGTGTAATTACAATGTTGATAAAAAGGACATAAACAAAAGTAGGAATTGTACTGGGTCGGTTCATTATCTACTATGATTGATCCAAATGGTACATAGAAAATCAACTGAAAACAACCGACAAACAGCTCCGAACCAGGCGTACTAAACAAGATCTTTCTTTTCTCTCTTTTTAGCAGCCGTTTCAACGCGCCTCCATTTCGCGTGCACACACTCTCCAACTATATTACTAAAAATGTATTGTGTTTTGGTATATTTTGTATTTTGTATACTCCTCCTATATTCGCAATTTATGTATTATTATTATTATTATTATTAATCTTTTATAAATTTTAAAATTTTTGCTTTTCAAAATTTATGATTATTTTCTATTTAAATGTTACATTTATATTACTTGTTCGTCAGTACCTTTTCTATTACACAAGACAATAATTGTTGATAAAGTATACTCGCATTTGAATCTTCCTCACCCCTAATTTGTCAAGAAAAAAACAATAACACTCACATGAAAGGCTTAAATCCTAAACATATGAAAGCTTTCAATTCCTTTACGAGCTCATGCGTGAGCATCTCATTTCAAATTTAAGACGAGAATCTCATTTCAAATTTAAGATGAAAATTCGATACTTAAACGTAGCATTACAATTGCCTAAAAGAGAGAAATTAGAGACCATACCCTAAAGGCCTGTACTATCTCTAGGCTCGTGGAAGCTTGGATCCACTTTCCAATGATCCGCATGCCAGTACAATGCACATGGAACATAGAAATAGGCTTTTGATTAATTAAATCAATGTCAGACTCGTTAAACAAGTTTTATTTATTAGAGAATTGTCTAAAACCTCACACTTGTTAATCTTCTTTTAACTGGATAAAGTAATGGTTTGGTGTAGAGGACTGTCAGAATATAATGAAAAATACTCTTATGCCTTAAAAGCAGGTTTTGTCTTAATATTATATGACATTTCACCTATTATATTTAATTTTTTAAAGTCAATTTAGAAATCTCATCCCATGTCATTTTCGATCGCTCTTCCTATTTTATACTGTCTATTACAATTAATCTTCCTCCTTTGAACTGTCTAAAGAGTCCCACAGAGATCATGGGAGTAGCTCACCGAGCCTTCTTGGGAATTGGTTACTAAGAAAAGTGTCAGGTAACACCAAAAAGCCCAATGCAGGCAAGCTGGGAGCAAATTTAAAAGGCTCAAACGAAGTCACAGAAGAGATAGGAAAGGTCGCCCATCGCCTAAACCCGATGTTGCTTCAACTAGTCTTCCTCGTTCGAAAGGAAAGGTGACGTTCAGACTTCCCATCGCCTAAACCTGATGTTGCTTCAACTAGTCTTCCTCGTTCGATCTCTCTAAGCAGCCCCACAGAGATCCTGACAGTAGCTCACTGAGCCTTCTTAGGAATTGGGTACTAAGAAAAGTGACAGACAACACCAAAAAGATCAATGCAGGCAAGCTGGGAGTAAATTGAAAGGCTCATACGAAGTCACGGAGTGATAGGAAAGGGGGCGTACAGACTTCCCATCGCCTACACCTGATGTTGCTTCACTATTCGTTTCGAAGAACAATTTGAAAGATCGAGGCAAAGGGCAATGTGTGCCGAGAGGGGCAAAAGTTGGTAACACCTTGAGCAGATCAAGCTTTTAGAGTAGTCAGTCAGTTTATTTTGAGGGCTAAATATATCAAACCCTATTTTCTCATCCATTTCACATACGGCCAAAAGAGGGCACTTCAGCATTTGACCTGACATTACTAAAATATGGTATTGAAAAATAAGAACAACCTCACACCAGTACACAATTCTTTAGACAAAAATATGCCCCTTTTTTGTCTAGTGGATTAATTTCACCAATGAACAAATAAATGGCACTTCAGATTATTAGAAAATCACTTCAAAGATTGAACAACAATGATCATTCAAGCGCTGCACACATTCAAGGAATGCTGTATGTGGCTCAGAAGAAATCATGCAACATTATTTGTGAATAATACAAAGTTGGTATCCCGAAGACGAATAGTCGGGGGAGGGGGGGGGGGGGGGGGGGGGGTGGGGGTTTGGTCCAAACTATGGGCTTAGAAGACATGTACAATCCCCACAGCTAGCAACAATCTCACTCTCACTCTCAAAAGTCAAAAAACAAAAAAAAAAAGAAGCTTTTTACTTCCTAAATGCGCTCTATGAAATGCTCAATTCATAAATCAAAGCCTTGTCCTTGATTAGGTTAAAGGGACAGAGGGAGGATTACCTGCAGGGCATCTTTGGCGGCGGGGGCGCCTAGTGGTCTTTCCCCATCCCGTTAGGCTTGTATCCTCCGGTCTCACTTCTATATTATTAAGCTGCTGCATCAGCAGTGTGCAAATTGTGTTTCCAGCCACAGCAGGAGCAAGGTCAGGCTCAGCCAGTGACCGCCGCCGTCCCCTAGCTCCTCCATTCCTAGAGCTGCTCCTCCTTGTCAATCCTAAATTCCACGGATGGCCTGTAGCTCTCATCAGCCCTCCAAATGTCTGAAGATCCTCGGTTACCTCATGCCTTGACAAAGAAGCAAGGCCTGGAAGAATGTCCTTTCGAAAATCCCTCCGCTGCCTCCCTCTCCTTCCTGGTCCCTTTTGGGATCGATTGACTGAAATGGCTCCCGTTTCTTCCACTTCCATGTTATCGGGAACCAGAGGCTTAGGCATATACTCTTCTTCCTTGATCTCTATTAGATTCAATGTCATGGCCTCAAAGTAATCAATCTCACGAGGGGAAGATTCCTCATTGTCTCCACCATCTTTGCCCCTTGACTCGGTCCCAAGCTTGCTCTCAAGATCATCACCGCAGGTAGAAATTACCTCCACAAACCATAGGAGAGAGTCCGTGAGACAAGCAGCTTCAGATGGGTGGCAAGTAGCGTCCTCCATATGATCATGATGACCGGACGATGAGATGGCAACTATAGCTTCTGCTGCAATCCTGACAACTTCGTCCTGTATCTCTTCAGCTTTATCATGTGATGCTTGTAAAGGTGTTTCATGCTGCTGCTTTCTTTCTTCCTCAGGAAGATCTTCCTCAATTTCTGGAACCACAGGGGCTTCCAGATCTATCCCTATTGCAATCTTTACATTAGCACTGGTGCTTGCGACAGGGTGTGCTAATAAAACTTCATCCTCGCTCACAGATAAGTTCAGATCAATGTGGTTTCTGCAGCTAGCAACTTCTATATCTATTTTCCTCTCTTCTACCAGAACTTCTGCAGCAATGTGTTTATCAGACTCAGGAACCACAGGATCACAAGCTACATTTATATCGATTACTACTTTTTTCTCTCCATGCTTGATGTCTTGACCTTGAGGATGGCAACGAAGGGATGCAGAGGTAGAAACAGGAGAAGAAAGCTCATTCTTAGAGTTACAAGGATTTTCAAAGATAGGAATCCCAAGGATCTTTCTACTTCCCATGAAGTCACTTATCTTGCTCTTCTTGGCCCCAACATCAGAGACACTTGAAGCTGATGTTATATTACGGGTAGAATTTTGATTGAGACATTTATCCGTTTCACTTTTGTTGGACAAATGGTTAGAAGCTTGGAAGAAACTGGGTTCTACCGAGTTTGAGTCCCTCCTCGCATTGGTGACCTCATTTTTACCAGCAGGCTTAGCTCTAAGCCAAGGCAACGCTGCCGGACGGTCCCAATGATTCCTTTCTCCATCAATGATCTCAAGACTTTGCTGGGGAACCACCTCATTAGATGAACTTTTTGAGAATACCATATTTAAGTTCATATCGTTTGCAGACGTCAAATCTACAACATTTGATCCCTTGAAGTAGTTTCCAGAACCACCATTAATCGATCGTCCGGAGGCTATATTATCATCCTTATTGCAATTCAGATAATCAAAGTTAACTGAAGGGATGTGAGCTGGTACTTCCTTGGATACTGATGAGGACCCATAATAAATCTCTCCCTGGTTAGGTGTATTGCTTCTAAAACCATGATTTGACCTAGAACTGCTATCAAGTAGCCACTTGTTTCCAAAAAATTCGTGGCGGTCAGAAGGCGGAGTACCCCTCAAGGTCACAGATGAGCTCAAACACGGATGTGTCTGAACTGATGTCAACTTCTGGGTCAAGCTACCACTTGGCTTTCCCCAAGATGGGACAGATTGAGACCAAGCATTGGCCAAATCAGAGGAATTAACAAATTGATATGGACTGGGCATATGGGAAGCCACAACTGGTTCCATATGGTTAAAATTAGGAGTATCACGACTTCTTTCAGAGATTTCTAAACCGAAAAATGTTCCCTCTCTCCGTAGATCTCCATTGTTATGATTGGTTGGAAGAACTCGAGATTGATGAGCATTGTTAGGCATAATATATCTTGGCTGGCAAGGTAGAGGCAACTTATCTGGTTGGAGACCTTGTGAAAAAGAATTCAGATTGCTTTTACTATGCCCTGTAAACAAAGAAAACATTTGCATTGGAATCATCAACACATAAAAAGGTCAAAGCAAAAAATATTTCTGGACAGAAGTCCTATATTTCCAGATTAAATTTAAACAATCTGCAAAATAATGATCCCAAAATTCTGAGGTTCCATAAAGATGACTAGTATGACAGACCATGAGTGGATGTCTGTTGGAAAGTTGGTGAACCAAGGACAAACTTTCCCAGCGTGAAAATTTGGTGAAGTCAAGATTCAAGAATTGGCTTCAGATTTGACTCCATTTTTTCACTACCACCTAATATTTAATTGTTGTTAAGTTTTATATGGAGAAAAAATGCTAAATTAGTTTTAAATATAAACAGCTTGGAAAATTTCCTGAATCTGCAACATCTTCACCTGCATAGAAACTGAGGGCAGTCCAGGCATGACATCAATAGCTAAAATATGGGCAAAATGCTTATTCAAAACAAAAGATCAACTTATGGAATTCTTTGCATTTTCAAGAGAAAAGCTTACCTGCTTCAAACATATAGGATAAACAATCTCTCCCATTTCTTTTATTCTCAACACATATATTGTTCAAACTCCCATTAGAGCTACCATGTTGGGAATTCTGCAGCATTTTCTTTGGCAGACCTAGAAACTGTGACTCTGATTTAACAGACAGATCTGGACCTCTAAACTCTCCATGGCAGGGAGCACGGCCTAGAAAATCAACAGATGCTGGAGCAGTTTCTTCTTCAACATGAATGGGTGCGTTCAAATCGGCCAACCCAATAGAGCTCCTCAAACAGGAACCGGATCTTGAAGCATCCTCTTGACGATCAATTTTCACACCACCAACACCAAGAAACAACTTCACACCACTCTCAGGTGCAACCTTATGATTTCCATTTGGTAAATAACTTGGAATGCTAGGCATCTTATTGTCGTGCGACGGTTCCCCTTCTTCAGTATCAATATACTCATCAGCTGGCAGTTGAAGATCAAATAACTTCTTCCTCACCTTTGAGGGTCTCAACTCCAACATTTCATAATCTTTTGAACTACATCCATTTTGGAGTGGACTTGGACCAGTTGTTGTTTTATTCACTTTTGTACAACTTAGAGGAGAATTAACAATCTCAGCACCCGAAATAGATGGTTTTGTAGAAACAGAGTTTGCCAAGGGAAAAATAGGGATTTGCCATTTCCGAGCATCTTCAGAAGGCAATTGAGATGTCGAAGGGATTGATGAAGATGATGTGTCAATTGGTATCCGTTGTTGATGTAGAACACTTTTCTTAACTTCATCCATCATGTCCCTTTGTATTCTGTAAAGGCGGTGGAGTTCAAACACCTGGAGAGAAATAAAAAGTTCAAATAATTTTAAGCATCGGCAAAATAAATAGGACACTTAAGAAAACAAGGGCCATTTGAACTTGACTTGACCCTCAAGAAATGAATGGCCTTCATTATTAATATAAAAATGCCTCACAGTACCAAAACTATTGGAACTGTAAAAATGAGATCTTGAGACCACATAGATACTTGACCGGTTATACCTGATTCTTGAATACGGCCTCATGCTCGAGCATTATCTGCTTTAATGCATCCTTATCGTATCCTGGAAATGCATCTGTGACAGTCTGCAGCAAGAAGTCATTGTAATATTGCCCATTTGTTGAGGTCTTATCTCCATAAAATAGTGGCCAGCCACTACTGTTAGAATCTTCATTAAGATCCTTCATGGAGTAATACCCAGGCAAGTAACTTTTACAATGCACAGTTGTTCCCATTCCTGCCAAACAATGAAATTGCAAGTGTTAATAAATCATATGAATCACTTATCAAGATTCCTACCACAAAAGCAATTGAAGTAACTTTCAGTTATTTGTAAAGCTACCCACTGTAGTTCTTGGTACAAACAGGGAATTAGCAGATACACCCCCAAAAAAATATCACTTCCTTTTTATTTTCTTTTATTTTTGGTGATGAAGCCTTGATGATCCTGGTATATATATTTGCTAATTTGAAGCACCAACGTACAACTCATGCATGGATAATTAATTTGATATACAAAAGCAAGAACAGTTGCAAGAACCACACGATGCTCATGAGCCTATTTCATTCACTGCATTTGATTAGGGTGATTCTGCATCCACACGACCATAATAACACACTATAGCATGCTCTATGACTTGTTTAACTGACCACAGTAATCTAGACTAGAAAAAGCAAAAATCATGGGCGCTGCCTCCATTGCCTGGAACTGATACTGTAGGTGGTGGACATTAGGCATTAACATTGAAAAATGTAACCCAATGTTGCTCCTCTTATTCAGGAAAAAAAGATTTGCTTCTCTTAGATTACAATTACCTAGGAATGGGTCCAACAATGTATATCGAGCCTAGCAGCACCCTCCCTAAAGTCAACCCCATCTCAGATGTGGAGAGACCAAACAGAACGAGTTCAAACTAGCACATCAAACACAAAGAAAGGAACAGAAGAACAAATGTAAAGATGAAGACTTTAACCTAAGACCTCCTAGAACACAAGACTCTTGATAGCATGTTAAATTACCAATAATCCCAAAAGCTCAAACTGTTAAGGAATCGGCCAACGATGCATATCAAGCACAGCCGGGCAGTCCTAACACAATATTTTTCAGTGAAGTCATCAAGGTAAGATTAAAACACAAGAATTTCAGTTATGTACCTAAGATATTTAAGGATATGTGAAATCATGATAATCCAAAACTCATTCTAGTTAAAAAACACAGTTCTTATTACTCTTCCTTTAAAAAAAGACTTGCCATACCTCAGTAATGGGGTCTGTTGATTTGGAATCGCAGGATGGGTAGATGTATCAGATGATGAATCATGTCATGCAATTACGCAAATGCTGGAACACAGAATGCCAACTAAAATTTTGAGGACTCAAACCATGACAGGTTCTTGTCTAAAAAAAATGATCTCGTGACTTTGGCAATTACTGTAAATCTGCCCATCAGATGGACAAAAGATGATACTCAGACCGATGAGCATAAGGTGATACTAAGGACTACTGAGACTGTGGAAGGATGTTGGATTCGTCAAGGTGGTCAATAACTCAAGGAAATGGTGAATTTTTAGGAACAGAAAATTGTTTATGTTGTGGCACTTTTCAGTGATCTTCCATAAAGTTCAGCCGGACAATGGATAGATATTTAGATTTGAATTTGGGCTAACTCGGGAAGTTTCAGTTTCCAATCTGAATTACGACACCATTTAAAGACCCAACATTCTGCATTGTTTCTCAGTCTCTCTCTCAAATTTTTACCTTTATTCGGCGTCCGATTTACAAAATTAATATTTTAAACAAAGAAGGCATTTATCTCTACCATAACTTCATTCTTGTTCCCTTAGTATAACTAACTTTTTTATAACCTTTCTCTAATAGGAATAGAGTTACAATGTTACTGTTTAATTTTTCCCCTTCATATTAGCAATTTTATTTATTTTTTATTTTTCACTTTTAAGAAATAAAATTTCATCTTGCCTCAGTGTCCAAAAAACAAGAAAATCATAGGATAGAGCTCAAATGCTCATACTCCTAGACTCCTAGTTGGCATTATCACGCCAGTAAAATGAAAAAAAAGTATCTACAGGTGGCTAACTTCCTCAAACTGTATAGTAACAATGATCCACTTACCAAATTACTATAAAGCCACCCGAAATAGAGGTACACACATCTCTTATCAATTTGGAAAGACGACAGCACTCAAAAGAGCAACATAAATCAAACATGAAAATAGAAGTTCACTACACAACTATGCTTTGCAAAGTAGACATATTGCAAATATATGCAAGATATCAGCTTTGGCATACGTTCTACCAGTCTCAAACCTTGGCCTTGTGGTTTAGGGTTCAAGCCACAAAGGTGAACCGGAGCAAGATATTAACTTTTGATTGTAGTCCATAGAATTTGACATGATGCAAGACAAAAAAATTGTTGGGAAAGATATATACATTGAAAAGAATTATGCAACAATATTCTAGACAGCACCTTGCAGATCTCAGATATGGTAAAACCACATAATACTACCGACTTAATTCCAGTATGCAACTTAGATGCATTAAAAAAATGTTTTGAAGAGTAATGCATTTGATGAGGTGTCAATGTACTGTCACTCAGAAAAGTTTTGCACAAATCCAAGGAGAAATCAAATCATCACTGTCCATTTGCTACCAGACAAGCTATAATGAATTCAAAATTCAATCTTTCCTTTTTAATACTACCAAATCAAATACTTAACAAATTCTATAACGACTTACTTAACATAAAGATAAATTGTTATCATGCACATAATCAAAGGATAAATTTTGCACAAATCCTAGGATAAAATCAAACCATCCCAGATCGGTTGCTACCGGACAAGATACAATGAATTCAACATTCAGTCTTTCCTTTTTATTACTACCGAATCATACACTTAACAAATGAAACCGTAACGATTTATTTAACATAAAGATAAATTGTTATCATGCACACAATCAATGGAAATTTTTTGCATGAATCCTAGGAGAAATTGATTTATCCCAGTCCGGTTGCTACCATACAAGCTAAAATGAATTCAACATTCACTCTTTCCTTTTTATTACTACCGAATCATACACTTAAAAAATGCAACTTCAACGACTTATTTAACATAAAGACAAATTGTTATCGTGCACATTATCAATGGAAAATTTTTGCACGAATCCTAGGAGAAATCGAACCATCCCAGTGCAGCTGCTACAGGACATGCTATAATGAATTCAACATTCAATCTTTCCTTTTTATTGCTATCAAATCATACACTTAACAAATGCAACTATAATGACTTACTTAATGTAAAGACAAATTGTTATCATGCACATAATCAACGGAAAAATCATGCACAAATCCTAGGAGAAATTGAACCATCCCAGTCCGGCTGTCACCGGACAAGCTATAATGAATTCAATATTCAATCTTTCCTTTTGATTGCTATCGAATCATACACTTAACAAATGCAACTATAATGACTTACTTAATGTAAAGACAAATTTTTATCATGCACATAATCAAAGGGAAATTTTTGCACAAATCGTAGGAGAAATCGAACCATCCCAGTCCAGTTTCTTCAGGACAAGCTATAATGAATTCAACATTCAATCTTTCCCTTATATTACTACCAAATTATACTTAACAAATGCAACCATAATGCCTTACTTAACATAAAGACAAATGTTATCAGGCACATAATGAACAGAAAAATTTTGCACGAATCCTAGGAGAAATCGAACCATCCCAATCCGGTTGCTACCCAAAAAAGTATTATGAATTCAATATTCAATCTTTCCACTTAACGAATGCAATTAAAACGACATAGGTAACATAAAGATAAATTGTTATCTAGCACAAAATCAATTTCTCATCAGAAATACAGGGAAAAAAAATCTAAACAGCAACATCAAGACTGATAAATAAGCCCTTGTAATCTCAAATACTCCAATCGAAAACTGAACGTAGTAAAATTGCATAAATCCCTATCATCAGTAAGCAAAGTCGTAATTTTTTTTTACATTGCCAAATTTCCAATAAGGAGAATCTAGATAAAAGCAGAAGCTAGAACAGATCCCAAATAAAAACTATCACTATTCACTCATCAATTATCCAAATATACATCAATTTATGGATAAGAAAACAAAGGAACAAACTATAATAAAGTGAGTCTAGATATAATAAGCCAAATGCAAGAAATAATAGTTCCAAGTCATCAAAATCAATAATGTCAAAAAACCCAAAAAGGAAACTTGACAATAACAAAATCCCAATTAACCATATCATCAAATGAAGAAACCCATCATACCTCAAACACTAAAAATAAATAAAAATAATAAAATTTACCTCAGACCTACATCCTGCAATCACCTCTCCTTAGGAACCCCTTGTGGGTTCAATCATTCAACAGCACTTCTAATACCCAAAGACTCAGAATCATGGACATTCAGAGTCTCAGACTGCCACTAGCAAGGACAAAAGAAGCAAAAAAGGGAACAAAATTTAATAAATAAAAAAAACAAATAAATGGGTATTTTCGTAACAGCAATTTGAAGATGCTTAGATCGTCTATGGAGATTTCGATGCGCTGGGCCGGGCCAGTCTCTGAAAGAAAGAAAGTTTTTAGAGAGAGAGAGAGAGAGAGAGTGAGCAGAAAGAGTTTTTCTAGAGTTAGAGAGAGAGAGAGATCCCAGATAAGAAATCTTCACATAAACAAACGACCTTCTAAGAACAGTGACATGAAATTTGTCGACATCGGGTCTCTTTTATTCTCTGCTTTTTTCTCACTCCTCTCTCTCTCTCACTCTATGATGATTTCATTTCCTATTTAATAAATAAATAATTTCTGGGTTTTTGAGGAACTGAAAAAGAAATGGGCATTTCTAGATTCTCTCCACCTTCCTTGCTTTTGGTACAGATATTAATGAAAATTAAATATTATATTTAATACCATACATTATTACAACAATATATATAGATAGATAGATATTAAATACAACACCAACAACAACGCTTGACAAATCCTGAGTCTGAGCTAGTTGCTAATATAAAATACTTCAATTAGTGTTTGAGATTTTGAGATTAATTAGAGTATAATTTGCTTGGAATTTGTCTTTTTAAATAATATTTAATTAGTTAATACTATATCAGACAAAGGTGGGCCAGCTTTGTGCTGCGGGAAGAATGAGGTTTCTTAAGGTTTGGAGTTGGATCTTTTAAATACCCTTTATATTGGTTATATTTACGAGAATAGGATTGATTCTTCTGGTGGCTTTTGATTGGCTGATCCTCTGATCTTGCAGAGAAAGTCTTTATTTTGTGAGTGCTATGTACATCGTCAAAAAGCATATATATAGTGTTATAGTATATATCTATATAATGTTGCCACGTGGCTTATTTTTGCATAAACAATTGAAATGGTGATATTTGATTGAAGGGTCGGTTAAAGTTATAAAACATGGTGAAATGTTATCTGTGTTCTGTCCTCTGCGAGTCTAACATGGTTTTACTTTTAAAGTTGCAAGTCTTTGTTGAAAGTTGAAACAATGTAACATTTATCAAAAAATAGTGTACTTTTGTTAGTTTTTAGCTATTTTAATTGACAGTTCATTTAAAGTTGTTCCTAATGTCAGGTTAGGCTTCAACAGGTTTCCAACAATAATATTTTTTTATTTTTTATTTTTTCCTTAGAACCAATTGAGTTTTTTAAATGTTAAAAAGTAGTTAGAAAAAAAAAAAAAGAAAAAAGATTCAGCGTGTGAGCAATTTTTAAAAATTAGGGAATTTGATAACCATTAAGACTACCACTCAAAATATTACAAAATGCTTAAAACTTTTTAAAATTTTACAATACAGAACTTGCTAATTTAGATTTTAAAATATTATATTTTTGGTTACTGACACTTCTCTACTCTCTCCGCTAAAATGCCACAAATATATTTGTTACCTTATAATTTCTCAAAAGTTTTAAACTTTCTTCTCAAATAATGTGAATACAAATAATATTCAACCAAAAATATAAAAATATATATATACTGCATGGTTCATTCAAATTTATAATCAACAGTTATGGAATGCAATCTCTTTCACCATTGTTACGATGCCTACCATATAAATAAAAATAGAATGATTTGTGCGTGAATTATAATCTCATTTTCATAACTTATTCATTTTGTATTTTGATTTTGGAATTTTTATGATCAGTTTTGATCCATTGTTAAATTGATATATTTCTTTTTTGAAATTTATTATTTTATATGTGTGTTTATATTTTAATATAGTATATTTTATAATAATATTATATGTAGAAGATATTTAAAACAAAAATGTAATATATACAACATTCATATTTCGACTTTTGCATATAACAAACAATCTTAATAAATTTAGCGCTTAAAATTAATACAATATCAAACAAATTTTTAGATTAATACATTCCATACTTAAAATTTCAACACTTAAAATTCAGTGCTTGAAATTTTCAGTATTTAATTTTCAATTTTATCAAATAGCACTAAGGCCTTAGTGTGATTAATTTTTTGCTTGTATATATATATATATATATATATTGCATACGATATAAATTTATTAATACGATAATGATAAACACAAAAAATTAATCACACTAATATTGCATATGATATAAATTTATTAATACGATAATGATAAACACAAATTTTGTGATTATTGTTTTATTCTTTTATAGTTGGTTTCAAACTCAAGAAAATAAAGAGGTTTGTAGTTAATTGAGCTTTTCAATATGTTTAGACAAACAGAGGGAGTGGAGAGTAAATTGTGGCCACTCCTTTCTTTTCCTTATGATCTTAAATCCAAACATATTAGTGATTGCATCTTCAATAAATATGATTTGACTGAAATTATGACTCTAAAATAAGCCAAATGTGGAACCAAATTTATGTAATTGACTTTTCCATCAAAACTTTTCATTAAAAGGTACTTAGTAATGAAATCTCAAATCTTTCAGAAACTTGGAGATTACAGTTACTTCAGTCTCGTATGTGCACAAAGTGCTTATTGTGACATCAATTTTATAAGAACGGGGCGATACACACTCTAACCATATTATAAGGGACTAAGAGTGTTTATGCATTTTATTCTAAAAATTATTACTGTTTTGAATTCGAACACCCTTTTTTGCTATAAAGAATTATATATATTCGTGATAATTTATTGCAAATTGTAAAGTTTACAAAATTAAATGTTTATTTTATATGTATGTATGTATGTATGTATATATATATATATATATATATATATATATATATATATATATATATATAATGAATAAGTATAGGAGTGTTCAAAAATTCACTGAAATCAAAAATTCAAACCGAACCGAACAGTTTGATTCAGTCACGATTCTAAATTTGTATAACCGTAAAAATATGATTTGGTCACAGTTTAAGTGTTCAAAAATTCACTGAAATCAAAAATTCAAACCGAACCGAACAGTTTGATTCAGTCACGATTCTAAATTTGTATAACCGTAAAAATATGATTTGGTCACAGTTTAAGGTCATTTAAGGCCAAACCGATATATATATAATTATACATATAATATAATAATATATAATTCCGCAGTGGTTTAATGTTGCTAATTTTTTAAATTATGGTATTTGTTGTTAAAATAGTAGTTCTATATGTATTAAGCTATTAGTAGTTGTGAAGGTGTTCACTAATTCCCTTCACTTCTAGTGACAAAGAATAATGAATATATTAGTAATTTTGAATGTATTAACTTATGTTCTAAAATTGAATGTATTAGCTATCCTGAATGTGTTGATTAATTTGGATTTTAAAATATGAATAATTTTTGTAACAGTAAAAATAAATAAATAAATAAAGAAGAACCGTGGAACCGAACCGAACTGAACCAGTGTTTTACGGTTTGGTTTGGTTAGGTTCCTTTGGTTAAATGGTTCGGTTTGGTTTTAGATTTTCTAAAACCGTTAGATTTTGTCTTGTTTCAAAAAACTCTCAAACTAGTCCAAACCAATCTGTGTGCACCCCTAAATAAATATTTTTAATTTATTTTTTTAATTCTATATTTAATGAAAAATGATAACTATATTAAATTTTAATGGGGAATCATTTTTCTTTTTTATAATTATAAAAAGCATTGAGATTTCCACACACACACACACACACATAAATATATGTCCATTTAACCAACAAAATAAATATATATATTAAAACTTTATAATTGATGAGTGGCATTAAGTCTTAGGAGATATATAACTCTCAACTCAGAGAGACACAACACAATGTTAAGGGAAATATTATTTTAATTTTTTTGGAAACGTGAGAAAAATTCTTAAAAGTGGGTTAAATGTGCACATAACACTCCTATACTTTGAGATTATTAGTATACACATTTCGTTGGGCATTTTCAGAATAGTAAAAAGAAAAAACAAGCATTACTGTTTTATTTTATGTCAGATTTTTGTTTGAGGTGTATTTTTGTACAATATTAAAAGAATAAGGAAGTTATTAGTACACTTTTTTTAACTAAGAGGTGAAAGTATTACACAAAATATACATTAGGGGTGTTTTATATATTTGACCTATTTATTTATATATATTATTTTATTATAGTTGGTATCATCCACGTGGTTGATTTTTATAAACAAACTAAATTATAGATCAAATAGATTAGTATATAACACTATATCTAACACAAAGTCACGTATATATAATATCACATTAATTTGCATATTATATATATATATATATATATATATATGCATTGCATGTACAATTTTTATTACACACACACGCCTGTGTGTGTTAATTTTTTTCTTTTGTGAATTCTCCACCAAGCGTTGAGAACCGAGCGGCAACAAAAACCCAAAAATGACTAAAATTGAAAAACCACTGATTTCTTTGGTGATGGGTAACGTAGCCCCTTCTTAGTAAAATCATGAGTGATGCACAATACCTAATGTCTTGTCTAAATATAAGTGTTTTTATTACAAGATATAAGTAAGCCTCCTCCAATTAGAATTTAACCAAATCGGACTTATATCGGTATAATATTGACAAATTTTTGAAATTTAGTGGGGGCGAATTTAATTTATTTATATATTACAACATACTTAAAAGTTTTGTTAAAGTCTTAAAAAACTGAATTTTGGGGCCTAATTGATTCCTTTAACTCTCTCTTGTTTTCTTTTTACCAAGGACCATAGTTTTCACTCCGTAATTTTTTTAGCGAGAAGATACAAAATACAAAAATAAAAAGCTCAACAATCTGTGCGTTGTCTCTTTTCCTGCTTGGACGATGAAAATGAAAAAGGTGATCATCAACAATTGACATCTAGTGGATGTGGATAGGGCCGAATTTGATATATTTCTTAAATAACAATTTGAATCAGATTCAAATATTTTTATGTTTTGGAATTGTTTATTACTCCCTTCGTTTTAATACAGAATTTTGAGAATTGTGACTCACAAATTAAATAAAATATAAAATTTACACTTTACTTTTTGACTCTGTTTGTTTGGACATAAAATATTTTTCAGAAAATATTTTTTTATTTTCTCCCAAAAGGCTTAACGGAGAACAAACCACGTAAAATATTTGCAAAGAAAAAAAATATTAAAATTTAACAAAAATAATTTATCCATAAATTTTTGACAAGTTATTTTATATGTCCCGCTCGATGGACTCGACCTTAACCTCGTAGACCTTTGTCAAACACTGACAAAGTAAAAATAAAAGAATTATTTTACCTAAAAAAGGAAAATATTTTTCAAAAAGAATATTTTATGTCCAAACAAACGGA